GATGCAAGCGTTTGCGAGCCACCCTCCCCGGAGCCTGAAGGTCCAACAGACGTGCAGACTGCAGAGACAGTCGCATCTTCGGCGGTTGAGGAAGATGAGAAACTTCTGGATGTCGAGGGGCCGAAGGGGGAATCTCCAAGAGACGTAGAGCTCCGCGCAGCTGAGCCGCTGGAATCGCTGGAATTGGGGCCATCGTCTCTCGCGGAGTGCGAGAGAGAACCGGCCGGGAATACAGAGGACTCAGAGGATGCAGCGGACGAGGACGAGGCGCTGGAATTGGGGCTCGCGCCCGCCATGCCTTGCAACCAAGAGGATCGTCAGCATCCTGCTTCCAGGTCGTGTTTGTAATGCTGAGTTTCGTTTATATTCTACTTTAGACGTTTCGCTGGGCCTTGACTTCTAGTTACTAGTTGCATGAAACTGATAAGAAGCACAACAAGCTTGAACCCAGGATGCAGCGAAGCAGATGCTTGGCAGCAACTCCGACCATGGCTTCTCATGTCAAGTTCTGTGGTGTGCAATTTCTGCAACTGCCCAAAAACGCTATCATGAGCCACTTGGAGGCTGCGCATGCATCATGCACACGGAGATCTTGCGTCTTAGTGCAAAAATTGTCGCCTGGAAGCAGTATCCCTGGGCTGCAGGAACGAACCAGAGCCCGAGATTTCGCAGACGAGTGCAAGTCCTCAGTCATGCGAAAGCGCAGAAACGCCTGCCGAATGCCCTGACTGCATGGAGCTGCAGGACCTGCATTCCTCTTCGCATGCCCGCAGCCTTTAGCATTTGGCACTTTCACGGCTGTGAGGAGACACAAGAACATGTTGCAGACTCAGTGGCAGACGGACGGGAAGCCTGCAGGAGCAGAATGCAGCGAAGGGTTTGACGGCCAAGTCCCTGAACTCGCACAGCCCTCCTTGAAACGAGGATCCTCGTCGCAGCTCAAACTCCATCGCCTGACCCTGCAGAGACTACGCCAGAGGACCTCTCGCAGGAGCAGGCTCCGCAGATCGAAATCTTGTTTATCTGGTAGTGTTGTTAGTTCGCTGCTACAGGCACTGCCTAAACTTGTTGTTATCGTCACCAGCATTATTGAATGATTGCTGTTCACTGTTCCTCTTGTTATTTCCTGGTTTGTTGTCCTGTTGCACTCGGCATCGCCGAAATTTGGAGCATCTTTTCGACAATTAACATCATCGTCACGATCCAGCAGGACCATCAATAGCTGTGTTCCATCGTCCGTTCAGCAATTTTTGTCCGTTGTACTCGCCGTTACCATCGTCACACTCGTGGCAATCTCCCTCATTGTCGCGATGCCTACTTCACCTGCTAGTCACGACCGTGTCCATGTGTGCACGTGGGTGCGCTTGCTGAATCCTCTAGCCACTATGGCCCATGGCAACATGGTGTTGATGTCGGCAACGCCGAAGAAGAGAGGATGGGTGCCGGTGATGATTCCAGTGATGCTGGTGGTGGTGAGCTCTTTTGCGGAAAGATGCGACATATGCGACCCGCCTTCTCACTGCCACTCTCTCGGCGGTTTCTTGTGAAGTCGATTCTGAGCTGAGCTGAGGCGTGCCTTAGCCCAAACGTGAGCCACGTGTCCAGTGCAGCCCAGGCCCAGGCTACTCAGCTTTGATCAGCTGACGCAGGGTTTTTGCCGCAAAAATGACCTGTCTGTTGTCTCTTAGAACAGCGACGACACTTTGGAGCATCTGGAGCCGGAGGTCAAGGAGGCGGTCTTGTGTGCCGACTGTCCCAGCCTGCCTCTCGGCTGCCGGTTCGGCTTCTGGACAGTACATCGCCTTGTCAAGTGGTTAAGACATAGCCCGTGGCAGTTTCACGGAGATCTGCATGTCCAAGCTCCACAAGCAAGTGGAACAAGTCAACTTCGGCTCATCAGCACGACTGCGAACCCCAACTCCTTTGCTGCAAACGATATTCCAGGCTGGCATGCTCACCGATCCAGGGCCAGCCGGCATCGGTCTGCGGCACGGATTCGGACCGTGACCGAGGTCAGCAGGGGGAAGGGAGTTGCTGGGGGCGGTGTATCGGCATCGCCGAATTCAGCTTGCAGACCTCTCCTCGCCTGGCAGGAAGCCAAGTCAGCCGGCCAGCGGAGCAGCCTTGCACCGTGGTTCAGGCCGGTCTGGGGGAAACCGTTTCGCCAGCACGCAGTCATCTAAAGCGGAGCTGCGAATAGAGCACACGTATGCGTAAATAACGCGGCGATGTTCAAGTCTTGCCAGTCTCTTACATCTTTCTTCCTCTCTTTGTCTCTCTTAGGCTGCGGGTTCTTTCGCCTTCGGCTTAGTGTTAAGTTTGCATGCAGTTTGGTCTGCATGAGGCTCAAATGGATGAGACTGTGTCTTCCTTGGAGGACCGAGCGCGGAGTATCGTCAAGGGGCACAAGCAAAGCCAGTTCATCCGCCCCAGACGAAGGGGAACACTGCAAAGAAGCTTCCCAAATTCCTAAACCTAAAATCTCCGCCTTTGGTGGAACCCAACAGCCACACACTGAAGGACCTGGAGGAGCGCCGGGAACTTCAGGTCACCCCGGCCAAGGTAGAGCCGACAGAGCTGACGGCAGAGCTTGCCTCAGTGCCGGACCCAGTCGTCATTGAAGCAACACTTTAATCGGAGCAGAAGGAGCTGCCACTCCGTTTCACCAGTGACCCCGCTGCCCCCCAATTTCCCGTATGTTGGACATGGCTCGTCACCTGTGCTCGTTGGGCACACTCCCGGTTGTACGTTCCACGAACTCTGAATTCCACCGCGAAGTGCGAACAAATTCGAGTGTGCTTTGCCCCTGTCACAGAATGCACGCCGGAGGCATGTGCCCGTCTCCGTCTGGAGGAAAGTCGCAATCGGCCTTCTCCAAGGCAGCTTGCTTTCTCTGCAGCACAACACTTCTTCTCTCCGTTTCGGTGCCTCTGTGCCAGGACGACCACCTCCTCGTCCAGCATCTTGGGCCGGTTTGAGCAGACATCCTCCCTGGAACCACTTCTAATGATCTGTCAGGACCCCTGGGAAGTGCGCACGCTAGATTTCTGTGGTGCTTCTACTCATTTTGTGCAAGACACCAATATCTAATTGATGGTTCACAATGGTTTACAAGCAATCGCTGGAGCTGCAACTGGGCGTCGACCGTTTTGTCCGTGCGATAAGCAGAACGCTTACGCAGAACAGTCGCTCTGTTTGCTCTGTATCGCAGGAGGTTCCCAACACCGTCGGGGTGCATCCACCTGCGCGAGGCGAGTGGGTTGGAGCAATATATGACTGTCTGAAGTCTGAATCCCACTCGTTGGTTTCAGCGCGGCTTTGCAAGGGGTCCACAGTCCACAGGTAAATAATTTAGTTGGGCGAGCACCTGGTAGCAAGCGCTCCCCAGAGGCGTCACGTCGCATGTCCCAGTTAAGCTTTCTGATTCCAAAGACGTGCTGCTTGCGCTCGAAGAGGTTCCGTTGGGAGTACCTCTGGAACTGGCATGACGGCAGGGCTGCCATGCCTCCGAGGACCCTTGTCTTCAGCGGAGAGGGTTGCAGGATCTGTCGTTTGCAGGGCCCTCCGGGACTTTGCTTCAAGCTTTCCTCTTGTTAATGCGTTGTGTGTACGATCGTCAACATCTTGGCATGTTTTCACAGACTTCGAAGCCGTAGATGCAGCAAAACTCGCAAAACTCAGGAGCACCGAACACGGAGCAGGAAGCCGTCGAAAAGCGTGATGAGGCGGAGCCTGCGGAAGCAGTCAAAAGAAGAGGTCATCCTGTGCTGGCACAGGAGTTTCGCGATGCCCGTTCTGGCGATGGAAGCTCCGAGATCTTGGAGCAGGCTCTGCCAACTGTTGTCCACTGAAGTCTCGAAGGGTCAGTCGCGAGGAGTTGCCAGCAGCCACTTCGGACCTCTTGAACACTGCAAAGACGGCACGGATCGCTCTTGCATCTGCTTTTGCGCCTTGGAGTGACAGCTCCCTCGCACCTGATCCTGTTTGCAGTGTGGCAGAGAGAAGTTCGGCGACTGATGACGTGTGCATGTTCCGCTTCCTGGTGGGAAGCCCTACTCCTGCGCCAAGGGCTATTTCAGTGTGGCGAAGCTCGGTCGACATCTCCATGCCATCAGCCTCAAGGCTGGCGTTCTAGTCAACTCTATGTGAGCATATCGCACCCCCGCAATACGGGACCACCCAAGTGACAGCGCAGCCTTGAGTTGAGATGCCAGAGGTTCACAGAGCAATTAGGCTCAGTTAGCTCGGCCGTAGTGTGCCGGCAGGAGTCGCCTGCAGTACTCGCGGGAGCTATGACAATGGTTTCCGCTGCCTCACGGCTGCATGTCATCAGCAATCAAATATTATCAGCAGCCGGGACGCTGAAATTATCAGCAAGATCCAATCGGGGCCTGACACTTCCAGCCAGCAGCATGTTGGGCATGTTGCATATTTATTTACTTCCTAAGTCCGTCCTAAGCCCTCTTGGCACATCAGAGGCCTTGGTACTGGCTCTCCCAGAGCTGGCTTGGCGCTTTGGTCCGGTACCGGAGACCTTCGCATGAGGCGCAAAACTCCCTTTCAGTTCAGTGGAGCCCTTCAAGATAGGTTTGGGACAAGGTTTTCTGCATCCAGGAGATTCGAGAGAAGCAGTCAGCTTCAAAGTTTCAGATATGTCCACCGCAGCTCCGCGGCGGCTTTTCATTTGCATTCCAAATTCGTGCTCTGCTCCCTCGGCACGACAGCCGTGCAGTTCCAGCAGGGATCCAATAATGCTACAGCAGTTTGCTCAGCAGAGGGTGGCAGTTAATTCATTCCAGCATTGTTGCACAGATGTGTCCGTCTGCACACGCAGACTCTGCACTTCGCATGTGCTGTGCAGAACCCAGATTTAAGTGCACGTGCTGACCACAAGCCTTCTGCGGTCATGGGCATGCAGAAACAGACTGCCCTTGGCGCTTTCGCTTGTCCTTTTCGCTGTTACAACTAGAAGGTCAACTACCTGTTGCAACTTTACTGAGGAATGGGCCATGTTGGCCGTGCCCTGCGCTTGTCCTCAAGGCAGTTGTCTCCTGCGGAGCACGATTGTGCCGGTGACCCCGCTGGAAGTTAATCAGAAACGCCATGTCTGCGTTGAAAACCCGATGGGCGCGGCTTGAAGCACATATCCGAGGCAAGACCCCGTCTGCCACTTTCACTCTTTACCTGCGGCCAGCGGTGGCCTGAGGTGTCCAAATCCGGATAGGCCTTATGCGGCGGCTGTGTCGCGTGGAATAAAAAGCGAGTAGAGTATATGTATAACCCCCTATGCCAGAGGGTTCTGCGCGCGCGGGAGAGAGGGACATGTAAACCCAAGAGCCTTGCATTCTGCGCGACCCCAGATCTTGCTCCAAGGCTGGTGATGAATGTCGCAGAACTGGGCTGCAGGCACACCCTGCTGCTTTCTGCACGTGGTTGTTGGATGACATATTCTAGCGACGGCTAGTATTGCTATGTTGCAGCTATAAGTTATAGTAACCAGACCAGTTATAACAACAAGCCATTTGCAGATGTAGCATTGATTACGGCCATGACCGACTGTCATAACTGGAATTATGGCCACGGTGCATATTACAGAAGGAACCCAAGGAATAGGATCTTGCGATGGTCATGACGGCGGTGACGATGGTAATGATGATAACGTTGGTGGCGATGGTGATGGTGCTGATCATCATGGAGGTGCAGCCGGCGGCGGCTTGTAATGGTGGTTGACGATGGGGAGAACATATGGGTGACGATGACGAGCAAGCAGATGACCATCTTTGTCATCGTCTGATACCAGAATCTCAGAAGATGCCTTACCATGCATTCACACAGATCGTCCTGACAGCGTTGCTGATCAGAGAAGGCGTTTTAGGGAGATAGTCATCGAATGGCCCACTGCCCAGGGATCCTGGACTTGCTTCGATGGCTTCCAGGGCACCATGCAAGCCTTGACCTGGGCCACTGAGCTCAGGGCCAGATGTCTTGTGTACTACAGAGATGCACTCAAATCGCCACTGTCGCCACAAGAAAAAACAGCGAGTACCATCGCCCAAGCCCTGTGTAATCACTATTTTCTCAAGTTGCATGCTGCTTTCGGCAAGAGCCGACAAGCTTGAGACGCCCAGGTTGGCAGCTGCATAACCTTCGAGTTTCACAATGCAACTGGTGCTTTCGCCAACATTGAAGAGAGCATCATCGATGCCGAGGTTGGATCTTTGCCAGTTAGGGGCACGTACATCATTAATACCGCGGGCCACGCAGTCTTCATTTCTGCAGCGGGGCTTGGCTGTCTTCACTGGCCTGGCGGCCCGGCCCAGCACGAAGCACGAACGCCTGCTTGCAGTCTCGTTGCCATGCGACTTCGAGTTTTTTGTAAGTGTCGTGGAAGCAATCGTCACCGTGGTGTGGAGGAAGATCTGCGAGACCCGGCGCAGCAGGGCGTGGGAGGCAGTTGCAAGATGGCCTTTGCTGAGGGCAGCCACGCCCGAAGCCAAGCCGGGCTTTCACTTTTCTTCTGAAAAATTTGGCATCATTTTGCATTATAGGGTTTAGGGTTTAGGGTATACGACGTATCTTATCGACTTGCGAGTCGGCTAAACGCGGCTAGACGGATGAAGTGTGGCGCTGACGCCTTGCCTCCGGAAGTTCCAGGCTGCAGTTACCTGGCGAGACCCCTGAGGAGGGCGTGGTAGAGAGATAGTGCCATGTGAGTATGCCGAATTGCTGACCTGTGAGAGGTTTGGTGGATCCATGTGGAGATCATGGGTCAGTTACCTTTGGATCTAATGAAACTGTAACGAGAGACGGACCGCATGTAGATCGATATCTGCAAGGATTTTCCTAAGGTGTTAATGCTGTAATGTTGCGCTGCGTAAGGGTAATGGCAGCCAGGACACCAGCAAACTTATGTCCGAGTCAAGAGGAAGCATGAGTCTGTACCACCGTGAAACATGCACATAAGGCAAAAGGATACGCAACCTCGTCTGGAGGCTGCTTTTGGCAATAGTGCAGTCGCATGACCTCATATGTCTCCCAATTCTTAGGCGAGATGACCTCATGCATCCAGTTCTTCCCAGGAAGATGTATTCTGAGACAGATGAGATAGAGGCTTCATGTGGTAGGACGCGAGCTACATACCAAATCACTGCCGTCGCGTAAATGTCTAGTATATAATAGGAAGATCTTCTGAACCCTGCGTGCGAGCTTTGCGGAAGCCCGCGAGACATAAGGAGATGAGCTTGACCTTCAGAGCGGCGCATGAGGCTGGTCAGAGCCTCAGCCCTTTCCGCTTTCGAGGCTCGGAGAGGATCCAACTCGGGAGGTAGGGAGCGAACCTGTTCTGCGGACATGGCAGGAAGATGCGCTGCATCTAGAAAACTGGGATGTGTTGCTGTCCAGTCTGTCGGGCAAGCCGTGATGTTCTTGAGCCCAGGCCAAAGCAAGGACTGACCCCCGCTGATGAGGGTTTGTGTGATGTAATGGATAAACAGCTGCACCTTATAATGACCGATAATTACTCCCAGTAGAACTAGTGCTCTCACCATGACATGGTGACACATTGTGTTGCTGATAGTTCGTCGTGTATTGGCTGCTTCCAGGAGAGACGTCAGAAGTTGCGTAGGACGTAAGCAGTGCGTGAGGCAATCCCGTCCTGTCAAGGCAGACCCTGTAAATCTCTGTCATGTTGCAGGAGGGACATCTTGAGCTGTTCGTTGGGCAACTGGGACAAGGAGACCCCCATGCTTGGCACGCACCTGTGCACGGAGAGCAATTGCACGGGCACTGGAACTACAGGTGCGGCATGTTGAGACTTGAGATTCTCCGCGTCGCAGGCCAGCCGTGCTTCTGGCAGCGTGGAAGCTGCAATACCGACGCCAACGAGGACCAGGACGTGCTTCGGCCTTGGCGGACCCGGTGATCTCTGCGTTCTTTGTGCTGCGCACACGCACACCTTTCCGATTCCATGCCTGTCGCGAGTCGGCTCAATCTTGCTAGCAAAACGACACGTAGAGCACGAATCGCAAGAGGAACGCTATGGCAATGCTCCGTAGCCGGTTCCAATGGCTGACTGTGCTGGCAACCCTGATCAGCCTACGCTGCATGGCACCGCGCAGCTTCAGCTGCACAGGCGACTTTCACCACGGCACCCGCCCGAGCACCCGCCCGGGCAGCCCGTACTCCAAAAGCTTCGGATTTGGCCGCTCGGGGCACACGCCGTGCACGCCTTTGCGGCCCTTGCGGGCGACTGCAGAGACGGTCACTCGGGACTTCGGGGGTGAGCGCTCCCAGGGGCTCGTGACGGCTTTGGTGGCGGCGCTTTCCACCTGCGCCATGTCGTTGCTTCAAGGCTTTCTGCATCGCACGCTCTGGGTGCCGCCCTTCGGCGCTGTGGCTCTGATCTTTGCCGCTGAGGCTGTCGAAGCGGCCAAACAGGGCACTCTGCTTCGCCGCAAACCCATTACCGATCGGATGGTGAAAGCCTGTCTTGGTGTGGCTACAGCCTGTTGCTGCACTGTCGTCGCTGCTTATGTGTTCGGTGACACCCCAACCATGCTGCGCACCGCAGTCATGTTCTGGGCTGCGTTTTCGATGACATTGAATCCAGGAGCCGGCTACTTTCCACCAGCCGGGGCCCTCTGTGCTTTGTATGTGGAGAGGGCAGTCTCGAAAGGGTCCTTGCCCGGCTTTGAGTACGCTCTGTTTCCCTGTGCTACCGGTGTTGGTCTTCTGCTGTTGTTCACACGGCTCTTTGCATTCCTTGTCTCACGCCCGGTCTGGGCGTTGCAGTCCAGGTCTGGCCAAGACCACGATGCTGTGTTGGCCAAAGCATGACACCCTGTAGAAACCCGGTGATCCGCCGAAGGCGTTTCTGAAGGTTCCAACATGGTCTTCGAATGGTTTCCGCGGCGCCCGAGTGCTGCGAATCCCATTGTGCAAAGAAGCGGGCCGATAGCAAAGCTATTTACGCTTATCCATCTCAGATCCAGCAGCTGGCACTGGTTTTGCAATGCTGCTGCCCTGCGGCTGCAGCTGTATGATTTCTTTGTCTTTGGTGCAACAAGAAAGACGCGAGAAAAGAGGCCTGACTCGTAGGGGTGCCTGCAAGCACAGCTTGGATCGTGTTTGCGAAGCGCTTTAATGCTGTCCCCGAGTCCTCAGCCACTTCAGGCCGGGGCCATTCGAGAATCTTCCGCCGTTGGTTTTGGCTGCGATCTGAGACGTTCAGTCGTTGCAGGAGTCCTGAAGACAGGGCACCACTTCCATGTCTTGCCATACTGTAGTGCATGAACCTTTACAACGCTTTACATGGGGATGCTGCAGAACACCAACTGCGTGGTTGAGATGGTGTGAGGTCCTGACCATGGGAATGTTTTTTGGGAGTGGCCCGACGCCACCGCCCACCGGAATCCCGCCGGGTCTCCCTTCATTGGAGGTGGCGTGGGATGGCTCGGGACGGTGATCAGAGAGTAGTCTCTTGGGGATCTGCTCGACAGCTTCAGGCTTACATTGTAATCTTCTGGTGTTTCATTTTGGTGTTGTGGGATGATGACGCGCATCTGTCTACAGTAACAGTGTAGCGGGAATGCTTCGAACAAAAAAGTTCTCGGGGTCTGCTTGCAGCTGGGTCTCGCTGGTTGGTGTATGTGACGGGGTCCAGCCTTCACTCGTTTTGCTTTGCTGACCTGCATGCCCACGCCGTGTGGCTGGTAGTGCTGCGATGGTGCCGAACACTGAACTTCGTTCGAAATGCTCCAGCTTTACACTGCATGGGTGAATACATCTTCAACTTAAACCCTTCATTGGAGTGCTTCAACTTGAGCCTGAAGATCCCTAGGAATAGATAGATCTTGGCCACCTTCCCTTTTGTTCTTCAGTCGGTGTCTTATTCGGACGGTTGTGTGTCCGTGCTCAACGTGGGTCTTAACATCGTCTTGGTGCCGCGCGTCCGTGCACGCATCCGGAGCCCTAGTTACCGGTACCGTCGTTGAGCTTGAGTTGCAAGCAGGATGGTGCTCAAGCACTGAGAATTTGTTTTCTGAAGCTGAAAGAAGTCGAGCGATGAGATTCGGACTCAGCTGCTGCAGCTTGCAGGTGGCCTCGGCGCAGAACCCTCAGCGTGCTGCATCTCATTTTGGGTCCCGGCGAGTCCCGCTCGCCAGTGTCCACTCCTAAAGCCCTAAAGGCCTTGTCACAACCTGGCGACGAGGCGTCATCATTCTCATCGCAGCCCGAGTGGCGGCGAGCTTAGCCGTTTTTGCGAGCTGCTGTGTGAACCAAGCACTTCTTCTCGACTCATGCTGCCGAAGACATGCACGAGTCACTGTTCTGAGGATAGGAAGCCAGAAGAGGAAGAGAGCAGGTCCAGGAGCAGGCACGGGAACGTGCCAGGGGACCGCTCATATGGCATCTTGTAACATCCACTGATCGCTCGCGCAGCGCATTGGGGCAATCCTGCAGCTGGGTTTCAAATTAATCGCGAGCCTCTTGCACAAAGCCCGCGCACTTGGTCGTGCAGGCCATTCCGCAGACAGCCGCAACTGGCTGAACTCCGCCGGGACAGAGCTACCGATGGCTCGCGTGCCATTGAGTGTAAGAGTTCATGCCAGCACATCTCGTTTTTGCTTGGCCGAAAGTCCATGATACCCCATCTCAGTGGCAGAAACACTGGCTTCTGTGTCGTCAGGAGTGGTAACGACTACACTTTACTCCTCAAGACCCATCTGCAACTCCTCCTATATGCGTTTGAAGGTTTTGGGCATTCCCGTTTGAGCTCGCGGATGCCAGCTGCACCCGACCCACTCGCCACATGTCAGGAATATCGTTATTGTTGTTGCGCTCACTCTAGATTTCATGCAGCAGCAGCAGCAGGTGTAAGTGGGCCGGTTGAGCTGTACATACGTGGCATCCTGCCTTCCTCTCGCGTGCACTGTTTCCGTCTTCCTTTACGAATCCTGCATGTCCTGCATGGACAGTCGGTGCTGTTACCAGGGTAGCTCCCATGAGCACAACTTCAACAAGCCGATAGGTCTGGCACTCCTTGTGGTTGTCTGAAGGAGCTGAGATCCCTGACTGACAGCTTGCCATGAATGGGAACGCAAACCTTTGGCCCTGACGCTCTCAGTCTTAGCCAGCATGCTTCCTGGAGTGAAGCCGGCCCTCCCACTCGCTTTCTCTTTCCGTCTCTGCATCTCATAGGCATAAACGACGTTCGTGTCTGCATGCATGCGTATTGGTGCATGGGAGTAGTGTGCATGCGGGCCAGTTCTTGGCTGCATGCGTGTGTTCGCGGGAGACATATTGGCCCAAAGCAGTCCATGTAGAATGAGATGTACATCATCTGTATGTGTATGTGTAATATATACATACATGTATGTAAAGATATACATGACTACCTGTACGTGTATATTCAGATATTTACATATACTGTTGTATTTATCTTCATTTGTGTTTTTGATTCTTGTATGCATACCTGTCACATGCCGCAGAAAGGAATAAGCACGGGTTGCACACACACTTGCATACATGCACCATCTGCTGCACCTACTAGACCTCCCTGCACCTCTTCATGTGTGTGTGTGTGTGCGTGCTACCATGTACCGTGGTGCCCTTAAGTAGCCTGGAGAAGCTGGGGCCTGAGGAATTCAAGACCGGATTTCCCAAGCCACGTTGTAGTGGCAGGCGCTCATTCTGCGCAGTGATAAGAGAGAAGCTCGCTTGAGTAGCTTGGGCAGTGTTCAGCAGGTAGGGGAACCTGCAGACTGCAAGGCCTGAGCACCAGAGAAGGTGGAAGAACTAGAGTGATACAGTGATACCTTCACTTGTCACTGCCATACAAGACAGATCTCAGATCAAAATCACCTGTTGCGCAGCACTACAACGCCACGCAGTAGGCAGCTGAGGGTGCAATGCCCTCCTAGGTTGACGCAGACAACTTGGCTTGAACTTGAGGTAGGGTAGGGCCTTAGGGTACAGTACATTCTTGGATTTTAGGCAAAGCCGCCGGTCGTGGCGCAGATCCAAAGCTCAGCAGCAGACCTTCCGAAAAGGGCCTTGAATTCCCGTACCTTCTGGATGCGACCCTGACAGAATGACGCAGGGGCCGGATCGCTGTTTCCGACATAAAAGCGTCCACACCCTGTCTGCGGCAGCAGAATGCTGGCCTGGTGCAGCATGCTGCAATGCTCTTCTCTGACTCGCGCAGTCGCGGCTCTGAAAGATGGGGCTGCGCATATCGCAGACATTCGAAGACCAAGACCGCCCTCGACCCCAAGCATCCCCCCAAGCCCAGGCCAGAACTGCGAGCCTTGGGAAAATCCAGCGCTCCAGAGCCATGGCCACGGCTACGAAGATCTTTGCCCAGCGCTTCGGAGGGGCCTCGGAAGTTCTCGAGGTGCCCTCGGATCTGCTTCTCTCGGACCTGGAACACGCGCTGCAAAGCGTTTCCACTCCCAACCTTCTTTGGCTCCTTGGTCCTCTAAGTGCAACGCCCCAGCCGTACTACGAAGACAAACTGTTCCTGAATGTCTAACGTGGGTAAGGTTGACTTGCTCAGGTTCCACCGGGGCCAACCGTTGGAGGAGCTTCGAAGGCCTCTTCCAAGCCGGCTGGTGCTCAAAGAGGGCTTCCCGAGGCGCGACTGGACTTCCTGGAGGCAGGGTCAGGCGAAGCATCGCACAGGGCATATGCTTTGATCTGAACGAGACGAGACTCAAGCAGGTAGCTGCATTATACGCAAGGCTGCAAAGTAAGAATCGACCTTGCAATCACGGCGGATGGGGACTAGTTGAGTGCCCCAGTGTTTGACATGAACATCTGCTCCAGTACGAGTATGTGCCGTATCCGTATCCAATATTCTGCCGCTGCCTTGGCAGAGCGCCAACCTCGTACACAGTGCCCTCATCGTGCCTCGGCGGCATACACATTGCGGGGTCCACTGTCGGAAGGCTCGTTGACGGGTATGTAGACACGTACGTTGATCCGTTGCTTCTCCCATTGTTTATTTCGAGTAGAGAAGTTTCGCAGTGGGAGAGAGAGAGAGAGAGAACTTCACTCCAACCCCATGTGCAAGAATATATATTCTGGGGGCCACTTTCCAAGGGTTGGGCTGGGATATCAGTTTTGAAAGGGGGTCGAATATACATTTCTGCTGGCTGTCTTGGATCCCCTGGGTTGCCGAAAAGGGGGGGGGGGGTAGATCCCTTTCGGCATGTTCGTTACGGCAATAACGGGTTTCTGGGTTAGGGCTTCTTTGGATGCTCGCGGCAACATTTGCGGAGGCCCTGCTCCGAAAAACAACGGGGATCGCTCACGCAGTCAATGAGTGAATAGCAGAGCCAGGCCATAGAGTGCTGGGCTCCCCGTTGTATCCGCTTCCAAGCTTCCATCTCCCGAAGACCGGGGGCTGGAGGGCTTTAGTGTTTATGGGTTCAAGATTTCTGGGTGTAGAGTTTCTGGTTTCAGGGTTTCTGGATGTCTCTGCGTTTAGGGATTTCAGGTTTTGTTTTTTTGGTTTAGGGATTCTGGGTTCAGGGGTTTACGGGTTTGGGGTTCCGGGCTTCTGGGTTTAAGGTTTTTGGATTCAGGTATTTATGGTTTCTGGGTGAGGGCTTCCAAGGGTGCGGGGTTTCTACGTTTAGGTGTTTCGGGTTTCTGCGTTCAGTGGTGTTCTGGATCTGAGCAGTTTAAACCTGATTTTTGAGCAGTCCGGAGTCCATGTTGAGTCTATGCTGTGAAGAGCCCAGATCGAACTCCCGCCAAAACCGCCCACTTTGTACATTCCCCGGTCCCAGTTAATGTATAATCCGGGGGACCTAGTACAACGACTTTGGGCATGGGGGTTTCACTTCTATCAGTTGTACCGAGCTGGCCGTTGAGGGGTTATTACCTTCACCTTCGATTCGAGGCAGGTTGGGGGTGATAGGTGCGTGGGGGGGGGGGGGGGGGGGGAGGCAGCGCACGCTAACCTCGCTGGCTGTGATGAAGAAGAAGTAGTTTCAAGTGCTATCTCGTATATAGCACGGACACCCATCCTTCAAAGGCCGCATTGCAAAAGACATTAGATCTTATGACAGGATAGGCCTCCTGCCCCTTCATCAGATGCCCAGGCTTGGCTTTCAAAGTGCAGCCGGGGTACAGCTGCGCCGGTGCCGGGAGGGCTACAGGGTAACGGAGAGAAGGTTCACTTCAGTCAACTCGCTCGGAGGGCATGATGGGGTCGAGCGCCGGGTCAGTGACAGCTTTGTTCTGAATCACTCGTGGTTTTTTGGAGCGTCGCCCCTCTCTGCATGGCAAGGATACCTTGGGTTAGCATTCTTGGAAATTCGCCGGTACCATCCTTTTTTAGAGAGATGCTGCGACCCAGCATTGCGCATGACTGCAGGTCTTCACAGAGTCCTCCTGACGTGAGCCTGGTGTGTCGCGGTTTCGAGGACTGTGCAAATTATTACGTATCTGCGTCATCTGCTATCGGATTGCCTCCCCTGGCTTCGTACAATGGATGCATCCATTGCTCGAAGCAGGTGAATGTGTATTGCGCCAGTTCGCCCAGCTTTTCGCAAGACTATACGGGAGCACCAGGACAACAACCGCGATCGCTGGTTTTTCGCGAGCTACGAGGCACGTGGCCCAGGACAGCAGGTGTCGATGGTGGAGCCTTACGTATCGTAGTGAATTCAGAATGCCAAGTGGTGCATGTTGACAGAATCACAGGTGCACACCTCGGCTGTTTCGAGCGGCAGTAACTAGCTGTGGTTCAAAACGTTGAAGTTCCGTCCTCAAACACTGGCCGTTACAATCCGTTATATATCTATTGCCCAGGTGCTCGGTTGGGCATTCTCCTCCTTCGCATGGCACCTTGGCAGCACTTTCCCACCATCGCGACATTTCGGTTGCCCAGGCGGCTGGCTGTTGCTGTATGGCGATCGGTCAGCGTTAGTTACAGTTCAACACAGCACAGTCTTTCTTGAGGCGGCGGCTGGTGCTGCTGGGCTGCGAAAGGCTAGGTGCGGAAGTGAGCGCTGCTTGTCGGGCCGTGAACACATTCGACCCAGTCTAGAACATGGAGAAACTGCGTGTTTTGACCATGGCATCAGCTTCGACGTCAATTAAAGCCAGCTCTGAGCAGGCGAGAGCTCCAGATCCAGGGACACGCTGCCGCGCGTCGGGCACAGCTCCGTGCACTACGCGCCGATCCTGGGTCCATCTCGGCGTAAGTTTCGCTTGAACCCAACCGGAAGCAGCTGTACTCTAAAAAACTGATGCTTGACCTTTGGCACAGTGTTGCCTGCTTCTGGCTGTAGGACATGGAGTCTATCCGACTCGCTCATGATGTTCTGCTGACAGAGGCTGGGATTCCGGGTTTGGACTTCTTTGGATGCGGCCCCTCAGTCGTTCTATTATACCAAGTGAATGTTGGCAATGCCCAACCTCGCAGCCTCACCCTTGCAACCCGTGCATTGCGAGCTTAGCGCAATGCTGGCCCTGAGGCTGGAGATGCGGGTGGTCTTTGGCCTTTCGGGGCAGCTTGTCGAGAAGAGTCTTGTGACCTTTCGGAGTCTACCTCTGAGTCCTGGGAGTCCCTTGGGCTTCAGGAAGAGTCGCGGAAGGAAGTGGAGCAGGAGCTGGCGCGTGAGCTTGAGAAGCGACAAGATGCCGACAGCGACATCCTGCCACTGTTTGCGAGTTCAGATTGAACCTGGGTTGTGGAGGGGACCAGCCCTATATAGTTGAAGAGCAAACATAACATTACGGTGGAAGAGCAGTTCTGAAAACTAGCAAGCTTTGATGGAGATGATATGGGCAACCCGGAAGACAAAGTGTTTGAATCTGGAACTTGCTCTCTCTGCGGCTGCTAGCACCTACTGCAGGTACAATCTGGGAGTCCTTCTGCTGATGCAGCCGAGAAAGACGGAGTCAGACCTGCATCAGGCTTTAGAGTTGCTGGTCTGCTCTTCAGACCCTCGGTCGTCCAGTTCTTAGCGATGGGACTGCTTACGGCACACGCGGTTGCCCAGATCGACATTCGTCGGGTCCTTTGTCCAGTCTTACTTGCTGTGGTTCTGTGATGCCTGAGAGCTGCTACAAGGTTCCTTCAAAGCGCCGCGGTAGCAAGCAGTCAAAGCAGTCCGGGATCATGTTTGAGCCTGCGGGGCCTCTCTCGTTTAGGAGGAGTTTAAGCGGGCTTCAAGGTTTATAGGGATGCCACTAAACATATTATAGGGGAGAAAGTACTTTTTCCTCATAATATGTCTGGCTATTTCACTTTTCTGTCTGAGGGAGCTTGGCGAGCACACCCAGCCCCTGGGCGCATCGGCTCTGCGAGCGGATCAAAGAGCAGCTGCAGGAGGAAAAAGAAAGTCTCAAGACCTTCCTTCTCTCCTTTTAATTTTTTGTCTCCCTCTCCCTCTCTCTTTCTCTCTCTCTCTTTCTCTCTCTCTCTCTCTCTATGGTTGCGAAGTGCTGCCCGCAGGAGTCCACACCTGGAGGGAGATACCAACGTCAAGAGACAGCCGCGCTTTGGCATCTACTGTGTAGTGCAGATAGCTACACTTTGCTCGGCAGCGGTCTCGATGGATTGGACTCCTTGCAAACTGCAGGCAACATGGAACGAGCGATTCGATCCGGCAGCGGAGGAGCAGGAGGAGGAGGAGGAAGCCGACATTACCCAGAAGCGGCAGACGGAATTCGATTCCTGGCTTTACTTGAGGCTTTCCCCGGGAAATCAGGCCGCTTGTGCTCGTATTTCGTGTGCATCTGTTCGAAGCCTCAGCAATCAACAGTTTTGCATAAGCTGTGATCAAGAAGGATCATTGCCCCCACTGTTTCAACCCAGGAAGAAGCCATCGCGCGCATAAGGAGTTCCATGCGGGGCAGTGAAGATGCCGGTCCTGCAGCGGCAGACGAGGAGCCCTCCCTTGTGTTGCTTGTACAGCGACAGCGCCGGTTAAGAAACAGTTTACTTTTCGTGAAGGGGGGGCTCGATTTCTTATTTTTGAAACACACCTTTTCTATTGAAAAATATATTTCTGGATTTGAGCATACCATGGCATACCCTGGATTTCTTAACTCAAATTTCTTAGTTTGAAAAGGCTCCAAAACAGAAATCAGAAGACTGCGAGGCTTGAGCCCGCAGCAGTTTCCCTTCTAGTGCATGCGCCTATCCACTCGGGCATGGTATCCATTAGGCTGCTCCAGAGGCTCCATAAGGGCTTAATAAAGGCTTTTAAAGACTTTGTCATATTCAAAAAACCCACCAAAATCAGAAATTGAGGGGTTCGATTTCTTATCTTTAAGAAATTGAGGGGCTCAATTTCTTATTTTGGTGGGTTCTGGGATTGCCTGATAAGGGCTTCATAAGGGCTTTATTAAGCCCCAATAACAGCTTTGGAGGGCTCCACTTCTGGGCTTGCCTAATAAGGGCTTAATAATTAAGCCCTAATAACAGCTTTAGAGGGCTCCTGAGGCTTCATAAGGCACAAGGGCTGAATAAGGCTTTCTAAGGCTTTGTCATATTCAAAAAACAGCCAAAATAAGAAGTTGAGGGGTTCGACTTCTTAAATTTAAGAAATTGAGTCAAGGGGTTCCCTAGCCGTGCTACTTCGAGCAGCGTGCTTCTAAAACTTGTGCATGCTACCTCGACCTTCTGTCTTGTTCCGAGGCCAGCATCGAAAGTCTGCAGATTTGCTGAGATTCGCTCGCTCTTCTGCAGGTTTTGTTTGCTTTCAGCCGGGATTTTTAGAACTTTTTCGCTGGGCACTGGAGCGGTTCGCGAACTTGAGTCCTCGTTTTCTAGATATCCTCCTGCATTCCTGCCCTTGGGTGACTTCGCCGACTTATTTCGATGCCGGATAGCCTCCAAAGAAAGTCGTCTGCTTT